GGATTCTACGCACCCAAATTAATAAGAAAAAGTGTTTTCCCGAGAAATTTTGGTGTAGTCGATTTTTGGTAAAAAAGGAAGGTTATACACTGCCTTTTTTTGAGCCCCGAAAAAAAAATTGTCTCAGATCGACCCGGAAAAAAAATTTTCTTATAGAATGTGGCCTGTAGAATCCATAATTTCAAACAGTTCCAAGATTGGGCTACTAGTTCAAAAGTTACAGCCCTTTGAATTTTTTTTTCGAAATTGGTTTCTAGTCTATAACTTTTGATTGAGAAGTCTGATCGAAAAAGTACGAATTGTTTTGGATTCTACGCACCCAAATTAATAAGAAAAAGTGTTTTCCCGAGAAAATTTGGTGTAGTCGATTTTTGGTAAAAAAGGAAGGTTATACACTGCCTTTTTTTGAACCCCGAAATAAAAATTGTCTCAGATCGACCCGGAAAAAAAATTTTCTTATAGAATGTTGCCTGTAGAATCCATAATTTCAAACAGTTCCAAGATTGGGCTACTAGTTCAAAAGTTACAGCCCTTTGAATTTTTCTTCGAAATTGGTTTCTAGTCTATAACCTTTGATTGAGAAGTCTGATCGAAAAAATACGAATTGATTTGGATTCTACGCACCAAAATTAATAAGAAAAAGTGTTTTTCCGAGAAATTTGGGTGTAGTCAATTTTTGGTAAAAAAGGAAGGTTATACACTGCCTTTTTTGAACCCCGAAATAAAAATTGTCGCAGATCGACCCGGAAACAAATTTTCTTATAGAATGTGGCCTGTAGAATCCATCATTTCAAACAGTTCCAAGATTGGGCTACTAGTTCAAAAGTTACAGGCCTTTGAATTTTTTTCGAAATTGGTTTCTAGTCTATAACTTTTGAATGAGAAGTCTGATCGAAAAAGTACGAATTGATGTGGATTCTACGCACCCAACCCAAATTAATAAGAAAGTGTTTTCCCGAGAAATTTTGGTGTACTCGAATTTTGGTAAAAAAGGAAAATTATACACAGGGGCGGACTGGGTACTTACGGGTCATTAAAGTATTAGTGTAGTAATGAAGGTGCCGGGGGGGGGGGGGGTTAGCTCTGAGGTGCACCACAAAAACATTTTAAAGTACTCCTTTCTCGAAAATAATTACCATACAGTTTTTTTTTAAATTGCAGCTGATAATTAAAAGTAACAAAATATACAATCCACACGAGGTGCGTCGCCTATCATTGTATTTCAGCACTTTCATGCTACGACAAAAAATGATAAATTCATTGTAAAACACTTCAATTAAAACAGAATTTTTTAACAACCTAACATCAACCCCAATTAGAGAAACGTGTTAATAATTTATTAATAGTGCAAGAAACTAAATACAGCACATACTTATAAATTTCCAACGGGCCATTATGATCTACAGGCTAGGTGGCAATTTTGGTACAGCAACCTCAGAGGAGGAAACGAAATATGTGGTCCTAAATGCAGTCGTGGGGCAACATTGTATCACTTTACTTTTTCAACATTTCTTTTCTCATCACTTCAAAAGATTCAAAGAATTTTAGCTTTAACTTATCGTTTCATACATTTAGTCTAGTATGCAGATAATTTTGACTTGCAAAAGGTGATGCAAAAGATTTTATTATTTTAAATGGTCCATTTGGGTCCAAATAACATGTATTTGAAGAGTGCACTCCAATTTTTTCCCGGCACAACTTTTGGCAGCCAAAAAACCTCAAAATGTTTGGACTTTTTTCAGTTTTTCGCTTAAAACTCGAAAACGGTCCACATTTTATATGAATAACACTTCTTTAGTAAGTAAATTAAAGAAAACACAATTCTGCGTCGATGAAAGGATGAACAAACAAAATCGGTCCAATAGAAAAATTGTTAAAAGCGATCAATAAAGACCCATTTTGTGCAACTTTTCTAAAAACTGAGTTAACCTTTTTTTAATGCGTTGTGGCTGCTAAAGGAACGATAAAGATTGTAGGACACCCGAGTTCAAAAAGTACCAAAAATTTAAAATTGGATCAATTTTTGAAATTTGTTGGAAATTATTGAACGAGCCGGAATGAACAAGACTCGTCCAAATTGCTTGAATAGCTCTCCCAACACCACCCTTTCACTGCAACTGATGCCCTCATGTCAAAACCAAAGCCAAAACCACGTCTTTTGTTCAAGTTACTAATGATTTTGGACATTTTCGACTTTCTACATTATTTCAAGTTATTTCTAAATTGTACTTGTTTTTAAAAACGCACCAAAACTTCTATTTCCAAATCGTTTGTGGTTGCGTTACCACCATTATAATTTCATTTCTGAAATTCCTTAACTAACACGCTTCAACTACAGTATTTTTAGTTAATTTTCGCATCAAATTTAATGAGCTTGGTCGGATAAATAGCACTCGATATTTAGAACATCTCTAAAACCGTCGTTTTAGATGTTACACTTACCCAAACCACGTTTTTACGCAATGGGCTAAAGAATTTTAATTTTCTACAGCATTTCTAATGAGATTTACCACATCCTTAGGGGCGTCGTTTGGGAATCAAAAAAGCACCTCCTTGGGTAGGAATTTTACAGATCAGAAAGGCATGCCCGAAACCTGGGTATATCCGCAAGTTCGATAGTTTCATTTGTCATGGTTGCCGAGACAAATACCATTAAACACTCGTGCAAGATGTAATATAAGTTCAAGACAAAATTATCTCGTCCGATTGGTCTGAATATGCGAAAAATGAAAATCCACTTTTCGATTCTTCAATGCTAAAGAAGTTTGTGAATACGTTGATATATGAATGAATTTTTGGACCAATTAAATGACTCTAATAAGGGCCCGGATTTAACCTGAATACAGAGAGAAAGAATGAAATTGCTAGTCACCCTTTTCGTACAGTTTTTAGGCTTGATTGAAACTAACGGCAGTAACATGTGTGGAGGTAAATTTCCATATACAATATTTAGCCACACTTGACCTATTGTCCAACTCCAAAATCATTTTGCATTGTATGCCCAATGTTTAAATGTAAAAATGCAAATTACTTACGGCATTTTACGCGGTACCTAATCTGTGCTTGTGAAAATTCACCCTTAGCTTTCTTGCTTTCGGTACTAGGCACTCTCCTTCGAACCATTTGAAAATTTTGGAAACCATTCCGCACAATATGCACTGCACGCGTTAACACGATCGAATGATTTGATCATAAGTTATATTTTTGATATGGAGGGGCGGTAACGTAAGTAGGTAGAGATTAATCACCTCATGCGCTTATCTGCACGTGCGGTCACTTTTACCTTTCAATAATTGTTTTGCCGTACCGAATGAAGTCGTTCCTGATAAAATATGACATGTGAACTACAATTTTTTAACCCATGAGATTGTGTTCTAAATTAATTTTCATTCTCACATGGAAGAAGTCAAAATCGGACTTTCCGTGTCTACCTTCCAATTGCATTTTGTCACTGAAATAGCTTTCTTTGAACATTCTTCCAGAATCAATCAAAAAGCGAACTGTGGTTGATAATGAAAGCATATTAAAGCATATTAAATAAAAAAATCCCACGAATTGGAACTGGAAAATTGAGAACCTTTAACGATTCAATGTTTTCGTGAAACGTATCCAAAAGTAAACTTAAATCTTTGGAAGTAGGGCGCTGCAAAGCAGTGGCGGTTTGTAAATGTTGATTTGATAAATTTCAACCAACGACAAACCTTTAATAATATTGTGAGCTTCGTCGCGTACTGAAGTTATCAAATGAAATTTTTTGATTTTGGAGATGCCGTCATTGTTATGCCCCAATGAATTAAATAAGTCTATGAATTCCTTGATATTACCAGCAAACTTTGGGATTTGAATTTTTGTACTGATTTTGCGTTAGAATTTTCTGTATGTATATGAGATTTATTAATTATAACACATAAGGCCTTCATTAAAAAAAAATGTCTGAACGAATCCTGTCATGTTCCGGAAAATCCTCATCTTTAACTAACCCTATGATATAATTGTGATATTCTTGAAATTCCTTACAAATGTTATCTACTTGAAGTGCTCTCGCCAAGAAGATCGCTTTTCTTGATTTATCTAACTCCTCTTCGCCTTCCCGTCAAGTTTCTTTTAATCTAGCAATTGCGGTATTTCGTAAAAGAACAGATTTGTTAAATTTAGTTGCTACGGTTGGGTATCGTTATACGGTTATATAATACGGAACTACAATGCGACCAGGTACATACACATAGAACGCATACACGCCAAAATTGTATCGCTGTTGATAACGACACAACCTTGCCGTTGCGTACCAAAATGATTGAATTTGCTTATTTATCTTAATAACGTAATTGCGTAATTAAGCAATTTTATTAGTAAGGATTAATGCGTGTATAATTTATGTGGTGGCAATATGAAATTACCGTAACCAAACTACTATCAAAGTAAAAATCAATTATGATTATAATTTATGAAATGGTAATTAAAAGGATTTAAATCCGGGACGAAGGACCATCAATGTTTGCGTAGTAGAACTGCACTTACCCCAATTAACCATTATTTTATGGGCACCAACTTTTTTGATCTACTCTCCTTTTTCGGAACTGCCAGGATTGGGATGGGATACCAATATGGACGGATTCATAAATTAAATCTGATTTCACAAAAGGATATAATTCCGAACTTGACAAGTAGAGAGGGCAACATCGCACAAGGACTGCCATAGTTCGCTTTTTTAAGTACAATTCGGGCTGCTATTAAAGTAGGTTGAAGGAAGGTTACAAATTCGGTTATTATAATTAAATCTGGATGATAGTTATCCTCCGTTACTATTAGATCAAAGATTAAACTCTGGTAATCAATTTAGAGAAAGTAAATGAGTTCAATTCATTGTATTCGTAAGAGATATTTCTTTGGCTTAGGATCGCAGTATTTTCTGGTCGGTTCCCAGATCATTTTTGAAACGGAATGAAATCACGTGTTTTTACAAAATTGCTGCTTTTACTTCATGTTCGGAACTTTTACCATCAGACGTAATGCCTGCTAATGCATATGGTACTCAAAAAGTTACAAACAAACTTTAATTCTCTCTGAAAAGTGCAGCTCATCCCTGATATATTTAAGCGCAGTGTAGATATACTCTGTAAATAAAAGGTAGCGATATCAAAACTTCATTATTACCTTAACAATTTAGAATTAGATATAGTCATTAGCACAACCAAAGACGAAGTAGAGAAATTTGACTCAGAGATTTTTCAAAGTTTAAATAAAAAATTAACCAACTTAAAGAAATTAAAATCTAACTTAAATTACAATCCCCCTGATCCAAGTTTCTTCTTCAATTTTCACAAAAACGTGATAAATCTAAGTACGACCACCTTCGATAAGGACGAAACTGACATCTTAAATCTAGGCCTTAAGCACAATCCATTTAATATGAACAAAAATACTCTTCAAGATTTTAAAATAAACCTAGAATGCATTTTGCACAAAATCAATTCCAACAACCCTCAGGTAGACACTAACTCCATCAGAGCAAGTTGTCTCCACAAATTGAATAAATATAAACCCATCTCGGGGAAATTTAATAAATCAATTCTGAGAACTTTGAAATCCATCAAATCAAAATCAATTGATAACAACCTCATCTTTACCAAAGCGGACAAAGGTAATGCTCTTGTAATCATGAATAAAGAAGATTATGTCCGAAAAGTGGAGAATTTCCTTAAAGGGGATGATTTCAGTAACTCGAAGATAAATTTTAATAACTTTACAGTAAATTTCAGAAAGTTTATTCACTCTTATAAGGACTTCATCAAAACTGAATTCAACCTTTATTACACGTCTTTCCTTCTTATGAATCCATCCATCCCCAGATTGTATGCTCTTCCAAAAATCCACAAACCCAACAACCCGATACGACCCATCGTTTCTTTTACCAACACACCAGTACACAAACTATCTACGTGGTTAAACTCGTATTTGACAACCCTTTTACCATGGTCCTCCCCACATTCAATATCGAACTCCATTCAATTTGCTCATGAACTTTCAAAAACTAAGATTTCAGAATCACAACGCCTCATTTCCTTTGATATAGTAAATTTGTTTCCTAGCGTCCCATACGGAGAGTGGAGATCTATAGTTCAAAATTTACTTTCAGATTCTAATGCCTCAGATCAAACTTCAGAATTTTTAATCAAATGTTTAGATCAGTGTTTGAACCAAAATTTCTTTTTCTTCAATAAAAAACAATATACACAAAATTCCGGTCTCCCTATGGGGAATAACCTTTCGCGTTTACTTGCTGAAATATTCTTATCAAATCTAGAAATCAAAAAACTCTTATCCAACCCTACCATCAAGAAACACTTTAAATTTTATAAACGCTATGTAGATGACATCTTTGTGATATTTGAAGGCAATGACTCCGATTTAAACAATTTCATTAATATCTTAAATACCTTACATAAAAACTTAAAATTTACCCTCGAATTAGAGTCCCACAAAACCCTCAATTTTTAGATCTCTCAATTGAACATCTAGGCCAAAAACTCGATATTGGAATTTATAGAAAACCCACCACCACCAGTACTATAATCCACTTCACCTCCTTTCATCCTCTCCAACATAAACTTGCAGCATTCAGATTCTATTTTCACAGACTTTTTAATTTACCCTTAAACCAAACCAAATACAACGCAGAACTCCAGATTATTTACCAACTAGCCGCCCAAAATGATTACCCGTTAAAATTGATTCAAAATCTCCAATTCAAACTCCTTCATAAATCCGAGATCCACAATACCACCAGTTTATCCCTCTTACAAGAAGATACTCCAACCACATATCAAGTATTGCCTTATATCGGAGAATTTTCTCATAGTTTTCAAAACACCTTTCGAAAGTATAACATCCGCATAATCTTTACAGCCAACAGCAATCTAAAGTCAGTTCTTTCACACACAAAAGACCAAATCCCTCTAATAGACAAATCCGGCATTTACAAACTTAATTGCCCCACCTGTAAATCTTCCTACATTGGCCAAACAGGGAGAAAATTTTCTACTAGGTTTCAAGAACACTTCCAATGTATTAAAAACAATAATTCCTCCTCAATAAAATCCCCTTTCGCTTCACACATCTTGGAAACGGGTCACTCCTTCAATCCGAACACCGATTTCGAAATTCTGCATATATGCAATAAAGGTATAAGATTGAACTTTCTGGAATTGAAAGAAATTCACCACCAAGTTAAAAAGAACCCGCACCTCTCTCTTAACGAAGTTCTCGGCTTTAATAACAATCTTCTGTTTTTACAATAATTTCAATTCACCCTATACATCTTTTCAAAATTTATAAATTTATCGATATGTCAGTTTCCTCTTATACCGAATTGTCAATCATTTCGAGACATGCCGTCTGCATGATCTCGAATTTAAATTTACTTAAATAATTTAAATATGTAGTCATCTCAATAGTTTCAATACTTTTATAAGTTTATTTTTTCCCCCCGTTCTTTTGAAATGTGTAAGTACCTTTTAGATAAGTTATTTTTAAATCTAAAACTTTGTCCATTTTTAGGTTAATCCAACTTTAATGTAATAATTCAACCCTCCGGTTGGTTGTCTTAACAAGGCTTGATAATAATTCGTCTTGAAACTTAGGACAACCTTTCCGTTTTAACCACCCTTCAGGTTTTTTCACTTGGCTTCGGCCAGTTAATAATTAAAAAACAACATGTTCGTCTTATCCGTCTTCAACGTTTGTAATTTACCGTTTTCCTGTTAACTTTCGCAGTAAGTACTAGCTCTTAATGTTTTCAAATTTGCTATATTGTGATACACTTCTAGTCGCCTGATGATGGCAGTAGGCCGAAACTATAGTCGCTTTTAACTTTAAAAACTTCAACGAATAAAACTATATGGGGAAGGTTTAGAGATTTTTGATAACATAATATATTTCAATCCCCATTTCGAGGAACGATGGATCCAACTCAAAAAAAAAAAAAAATCAAAACTCATTGCAGTATTGCATAAATATATTACTGTAAATTTAAATAACAGCTACAAAGACGTTGAGAAAGATTAAACAAATTAAAATAATCACTCTGTAAAATTTAATTAAACATGGATAGTAAATTGAGAACAGTGATAACTACATCTATCTCACGAGATTTCCGATATGATTACTATTTTTTATAAATTAAAGCTACACTGGATATACTCGGGTTATTGCAATTTGTTAACAGTTGCATATGGTTGGTACGCGCAATTATTGAACAAAAGAGTATCTGCAGAATCTTTTTGCACTGGATAACCAATGGCAAACTGTTTAGCGTTAATTCCGAACAACACTCAACAGCAAATTTAATGTTGAAATTAACAGAATGAAATTTCTATTAGCTACAGTAAAAAAGTGAAAAATCACGATTACCATTGTTCACTAATATGAGAACTTACAACGCCATTGAATAAATCCGAGTATAGCAGTTATAGTTCAACTCAAAGTAAGTTGTGTGCGATACATCACCAACAAAGCCCTTTAATTTAAATTAAACGGCACATCTACAACATTCTTTTAATAGCTCAACTGGAAACACGACCTTTTCGTCTCAGTCATGATCACGAATTATTTAAGCGGTGAGTTTCGCACAACTCAGTTTGAATTAAAGTATATTTTATTTATTTAATACTCTTAATTCTATGCTTAATAGGAACACAAATCTACACGTAAGTGACTATAGAAAATGAGTGCGATTTCAGTGTTTTACGACTTATCATAAATTTTACATCACAGAATAGGAATTAGTTGTTAAAATTATAAAAGCGCTTCTTTTGGAAAAACTAGGCATCATTTTGCACATTAAGGACAATAGTTAATTTTGCTAAACGCGTATTACTCACTATATCCTCATCTTTTAAAATAATTTACTACCCCCCATTAAGAAAAAGAACAATCTTACAGATTATTGTAAAAATTTCCTACGTATTCATCTGTTTCACATACACCGACCTTAGCTATAGCACCTATACTCCTGTGGCCATCACGCAACCTTCAGGATCAATATAATTAGCAGAGCTACTTACATATTCTAAATTTTACATATATACATACATCTCTTTTAAAGAGATCAATTATCGTTCATTGACTATCTCGTAACTGATATATTTTTGGAAATCCTAAAGGTACAGTCCGCGGTTTTGGTAGATACCAACCCTAAGATTATGGACGCGATTATTATACTGACTAATCTACATCTTGTATACTTACGTAAATATAATCGACACTCCAAAATAAAGCGCTTATTGTAACAAATATAGGTATATGCATAGGCCTAAAAGTACACTAACACAGATAGAAACTTTTTTGAGAACATTTAAGAGACCAAGTCGGTCTATCTTAGGTTGTACTAACGATTCAAGTTTATATACTATTATTATTACATAACAAAAATAATTATCTAATCTATCAACAATGTATACGGTAGAAGCACAAGTTCATTCATCAACAATAATGCAAAACGCCAGTTCGCAGAAAGTTTGATATGTTACCATTTCAAGTTAGTAGACGCAATTATAGGTTCGATTTTGCTGCACAATGACATTGATGAATGAACGCGTACATGTTAGGCTTTAGTTGACTAGCTACAAAATAAGAGTCGGCACTCTTTGAACAGATGGTATAAAGTTGTCGAAAGAGATTAGACTGTAGCCATTTATAATTAGTAATCACCGCCGAAACTTTAAAATTACATGGTGTCATAAGACATTTCAGCAACTGGTTGGAAATGGCATAAGTCTGAGTTAATTTCAGTTTTGAGTCAAATTCAACAGTGAATTATTTCTTTGTGAGCGAATTTGGGAATTTTCAGTAGTTCGTTCCCTAAAATGTCACATATTTGTCATGGAGTACAACTGTATTGGGACAGTGTAGCGTGTCTTTGTTTCCTTAGCCATTAATTAGGTTAGTAGTGAAAGTTAACTGTGAGTACAACTTAGGAACATTATAGAGAAGAATGACTACTCTTCCAAAGTGGAATTTAATAACATTTCAGATGATACTTCTTCTACCAGGTGAGCTCGGTTCTATTTCTAAGTTGTGCTAAATTTACTATTGATGTTAACATATCCCACTACAGCCTTTTAAGTAAAAGGTATACAGAAAAATGAAATTTTGTCATAAGATCCACTGTGCGATCATGAAATCACAATTCTTTGGCGAGTCGCTTACCTGTTTGCTTGGCCCCATTCTCACGGAGTTACAAATATTAAATCATTCGCCATGAGATGCGTTCAAGAAATTCCAAGTAAGTATAAAAACTGTTTCTTGGATGACTTACGAAAGGGTGAATATTATTTACAACAGTGCTTTGCGCAGGTATCGTCGCCAACGGATCGCAATACAATCGCAGCGCATCTAAAACATCTGAAATTATTAAATTCCGTTACAGGAACGGTTTGCTACAAATGGTTTTTGACGTTGCAAACACGGATCTTATATGGAAATTTGCAATCGTATAACACGTATTGAGGCAATTTACACAACGATGGGAACACTAACAAACATTACATAAACAAACCAATGAGTATCGCCCATTTGAACTATATCGGTGCCTTAGGAAGAACTTCCACCAAACTTCAATATTTTACAACATTACATCTTCTTTGCGAATGAATCTGAAATGCTGTAGATAGATGTATAAATAGTTTCCATTTAGCACACACTCAATGACCAGCATAAAATTTGACTTAATACCAAACTTGCACATTTAAGGAACATTCAGAAACATTTACATCAATATAGTTCGATCCACATTTAAGACAAACCATGCGAAACCATTTTTTTGTTAACAAATCCAGAAGCAAGAAAATATTGACATCAGTTGTATTAACAGTATGTAACAAAACACTTAACAAGAAACTATAACTAATAACATATAAGTGTACTGCCGCTGTTTAGAAGACAACAATTTGGCACAAATTATATATAGCAACGTTCACAATTCCGGGTACAGTAATTGTTATAAGGTTAAGGTCTAAAAAATTAAGCAATCGGTCGCAACTAATGACGTTCGGGTTAAAAATGGGCTGAAATTCATTTTGCTTACTTTTTAGATCTTTTCGACTTATCTAGTTTACATAAAATACAGAGTGGACTGTTGCAGAAATTTAACTTACTGAGCTTTCCACAACACTAGGATTGCGTACATTGCTCGGATCGCCATTCGCGTGCTTTGGACCCAACCTCGGAGACGATTTTGAATTGCTCGTCACCGATTGCATTGTTTGAGATTTGGGCCCGGTGAATCTCATGCTATAAGCCGGCCTGTTGCGATCTGCACCTCCAATCTGCAACAATTAATTGTAATTCATTACTTTGGTTCCCATTCGCAACATCTATTTAAGGAATTGAATGTAACTTCGGATTGGGTTAACAGATTTGCACATAATAGGTGCATTATATATAAAAAAAATAGAAAAAAGATATTAGAATTATAGTAAGAAAATTATTAAAAAGAAAATTTTAAGTATATAACTTAAGAAATTAAAAATCAAGTACTTTATTCGTGCCTAAGAGTTAATAATATACTATCTAAAGATGAGAAGTGGATGTTGCGCATGTTTGATATTTTATTGAATATGATATTATCAAATTAGATGAAAAAGTGAGAATATAAGTAAAAACCGCATTTTGAAATCTGTTTTCTAAGTAGTGATATTGCGAATTGCGAATATGAATATAAATGTTGCAATTAAAATTTGTGAATGTTCGTATTTTCGGCAGCTGTGAAATTAATGGTTCCATAGATATGGCCTGTGACCATTATTATTGGGACAGCCTGTACATACCGACGGAAAAAAATTTATTCTTTGAAACGTCGACATTTGATGAAATTTTGACATGTCCAAAAAACGGTGATCGCAATAGCTACCCTATTTCATGCTAGGAAGCTAACCAGCAGTGTACCCCAGGAAATTCTGTTTTTCCTGTACTGGTGTGTGTGGATACCCCGCCAGTGTTTACTGCCGTATTTTATAATAGACGGGAATGCGATCTCCACAAAAACTATTATGAGTTGTGGTGGCTAAACGTTTTATGGGAAAAGCGTAGCTCTGAGGGGTTTGGTATACCTCCTAGCGTATACGCTGATTCCATTGCAATTTTCAAAAGAACTCCATCAGTGTACCCCCATCAAATTGTTTTTTTCCTCTAGCACTCGCATAATAACCTTTGGGAAACGGTAATGGAACCATCCGGGGGGTGGGGGTTGTACTCCATATCTCCCGGTACTGAGTTTTTTTGCCGTACTTCTTGTTAAAATGGGGTGTGGAATTGTACCAAAAAACTATTATGAGTTCTGAGTTCTATATACGGTGGTTGTATTGCCGTTTAACAAAAATAGCAATGTACCCCCAGGAAAGTCTCTCTTTCCTCTAGAACTCTCATGGTAACCAAAATTAATTCGTTTTTCGCACAACCTCTTATAGATTACCGAATACAACGTAACAGATGTAAAAGTGTCTGAAGAATCTCAAAATGCAAAAATATGCAGGGTTGGATAAACGATTACCCGCTATCCTGCAAATTAATTAGAATTAGATTACTGACGTAATTATGATTTGTGTCACTTGTCACTTCAGCATAGCCTTTTTTCTAAGGTAGGTTAATTACATTAATGCTTATGGACCAACTTCTTCAACATTATTCAAGAGGCAATCAAAAGAAACACAACAACGACGCCAACAGAACGCTTCGTCAATCGTCATTATGACTTTAGAAATACAAACTTGCAGATTGGACACAAAGTCCTACTATTTGTACTTTGATTTTTTAGTTTTATACATTTCCCTTGTTTGAGAAAACATGGAAACAACGCGTTTTCTTATTGAAATGAATCGCGAACGTCGTATTCGAGATTTTTCCAAATGTTTTGATTAAATTGCTTCTGTCTATATTATACTATATGTAGCCTCATGAATAAAACAAGCACACGGCTGCATTTTAATCAAATCAACTTTCTTTAATATTGCCTTCAAATTTGAGCTCGAAAATATTCTATTGAAAGTAAAATTGTAGACTTTAATATACCCACTTATTGTATGTAAATACGGAATACATTTATATTTACCTGACAGCCATTTCCTTGTCGAACGTTTTTGTAGGGTTGAAAGAGGACCAGGTAAACTTTTGGCGTGAAGAGGCACCCCAAAGCAACGGTTGCACTGATGTTCAGACACATGCACATGCTGACTATTTGAATCTGTAACAAAATGGTAGTCAGGCATAACGTAATTCATTTATCTCATTGAGTTAGTTAATGTAAATTACCATAAAAGGAATAATTAATCTCCAGCCATACGAGTTGAATGGCTGTGAATGAGAGAACTAATTTCAAATGCTATAATGAACTTAATGATATGGAGCAGTGGTGCATTTATAATAAAACCATAGCTTTTATTCATTAGAGATACAAAAAGACATTTAAAGTTTGAATTTCTAAACGTATTTTACCTTCGATAGAAGTTTAAACTACTAAGCGTATTTTCCTACTCTTCTTTTTTGGTATTACGATGGAAATTTTGTTTACAAATATGAAAGTTCAAAGTTATGTCAGAACTTTACTATGACAAAAAAGAGAACCAATTTACGAGACTTTGTGTACTTAATTATCATGAAAAGACGCAAGTGACTTTATTATCAACAAATTCTTTGAGTATTATAGACTACTGAAAGATACACACAAACGAGAATGAAGTACGGTATACGATTGTGGCAATTGTATAATGTATTATATTCATAAATATGGAATTTATTTTTTGCAGGCAGAGGTTTATTTTAATTTTGATCTGTCTTTTTTTTAGTTTAGTTCTTGGCTCGGCTTACAACGCGATATTAGTCTAGATCAGTTGTTCCCAAACTTATTTCCATGGCGCCCCCTTTCATAAAACTAAAATTGCCTTCACCCCTATCTCGATTATAAAATAAAAACTGCTGTTACTACAAACTTATTTAAACAAATTACAGAGGGTTAGGTTTTTCTTTCATTTTCATTATGGGGACTCTGAAATCGTAAGAGATACAAAGCAAAGTTGCAGAATTTTATGGTGATTAATTTTCCCCTTGAACGAGTCTTGGAGGTCTACAAATAGCGCAGTTATGCCTAAGAAACAACCGAAAATGTCATTTTCGAAAGTACGTCGGCGTCCAAGTTTCAAAGATATCAATAAATAATTGTAACAAAACCCCCTCAACAACGCCTTGCTCTCCCCCCCCCCCCCAATTTGGGAAACACTGGTCTAGATGAAAAAATACAGTAACGGTTCAGCTACCCTGTGATTACAAAGCGCAACAAAAACCTCAATTTCACGTATTTCAACGGTGTGGTATTTAGGGGAACTTTTCGAAAGAAAGGAATTCTCCTACTTGATGGTTCTGCCCGTTCGTTCGTCGGTCTGTACCTCGTTCGATGACAAAACAATTTATTTCTACGAGTACAAGGGTCAGGCTTCCGTCAAGAGGTTCCCTTATTATTGAAACAATAAGGTAAAGATATCTTCCGTTGTTTCAATATGAATTAGCTGCCATAAATGATTTAATTTATTTTAAAAGGGTTAAGTTGTAGAGCAGATGGTGTGGATGGGTGTGGATAGGCAATGCAATCCCGATCCCGAAATACCGGGACCCCGCAGCATTTTTGCAAGATTAATCCCGCACATAAATGGAGCGGGATCCCGCGGGATTTGCGGGACTGAGGAATTTGTCGACCAAGGGAACGACTCTGTTTACTTTGTTAATGAGACTGATAACGGCGAATTATTTTTTAAATAATTGTTAAACTTTTTTCGTTAAAAACGTACTATGATTTTTGAGGCACTTTAGAAGACTTTTTGTGCTTTACAGGTAAGGTTTTTTTGAGTTCTAAGTTAGGCCGAAGGTACTTTTTTGTTAAATATTGTTATAATTAGCGATTTATTTTAATACAGAAGTTAACCGCACAGAATTGCTTATTTGCCAATTTATTTAAAGTTTTGCGAGATCCCGCAAATACCGGGATCCCGCGGGATTAACATCTAACAATCCCGCAAATACCGGGATTGAGATTTTGCTGCGGGATTGCATTCCCTACTAGAAACCAATTTCAAAAGAAAATTCAAAGGGCTGTAACTTTTGAACTAGCAGCCCAATCTTGGAACTGTTTGAAATTATGGATTCTACAGGCCACATTCTATAAGAAAAATTTTTTTCCGGGTCGATCTGAGACAATTTTTTGAGGGCCTCAAAAAAAGGCAGTGTACAACCTTCCTTTTTTACCAAAAATCGACTGCACCAAAATTTCTCGGGAAACACTTTTTCTTATTAATTTTGGTGCGTAGAATCCAAAACAATTCGTACTTTTTCGATCAGACTTCTCAGTCAAAAGTTATAGACTAGAAACCAATTTCGAAAAAAAATTCAAAGGGCTGTAACTTTTGAACTAGTAGCCCAATCTTGGAACTGTTTGAAATTATGGATTCTACAGGCCACATTCTATAAGAAAAAATTTTTTCCGGGTCGATCTGAGACAATTTTTTTTTGAGGGCCTCAAAAAAAGGCAGTGTATAACCTTCCTTTTTTACCAAAAATCGACTGCACCAAAATTTCTCGGGAAAACACTTTTTCTTATTAATATTGGTGCGTAGAATCCAAAACAATTCGTACTTTTTCGATCAGACTTCTCAATAAAAAGTTATAGACTAGAAACTAGGGAATGCAATACCGGGATTGCGGGATCCCGAAATACCGGGATCCCGCAGCATTTTTGCGAGATTAATCCCGCACATAAATCGAGGGATTTGCGGGACTGAGGAATTTGTCGACCAAGGGGGCGACTCTGTTTACTTTGTTAATGAAACTGATAACGGCGAATTATTTTTTAAATAATTGTTAAACTTTTTTCGTTAAAAATGTACTATGATTTTTGAGGCACTTTAGAAAACTTTTTGTGCTTTACAGGTAAGGTTTTTTTGAGTTCTAAGTTAGGCCGAAGGTACTTTTTTGTTAAATATTGTGATAATTAGGGATTTATTTTAATACAGAAGTTAACCGCACAGAATTGCTTATTTGCCAATTTATTTAAAGTTTTGCGAGATCCTGCAAGTGTCTTCTGTATTTGTATTAGTTAATTTTTTGTCTAACTTGTATTTATGTGCCTTCCATTTCACAACATAACGTATGAATCGATCAGGAGCCCTTTTTAATTATAATATAAAAGCGCCTTTCTTTATCCATTAAAAATTTAAAAATCTCCACATCCGATAACAGAGTTTATGTGATTGAAGCATTGAATTAGTTATAGGTACAACTTATGGTATTGTGTCAGGTTTAATAGTTTTACAACACATGCGCGTTTCTAATTAAACAACTAAAACAGGAGATTTAATTTTCAAGTGCCACAGTTTTATGCGCGCATTAAATCCGTTTTATTAGCGTCGATGGATTAATTTTCCAGAACGAGATCATTAATTACGTTTTGTTAAGTTTTAACACTCAAAGTTTAGGTATCAATACTGAAATGTAAATCTATAACGTTTTAATCATTTTTGAGCATGAAAGGAAGTTACTGGAGACCGTTCGTAAATTAACCTTAAATAACGCTTTTTACTTTCGCTCGAAGAAAGTGCTTGAAAGGGTTTCGTTTTAAATCGAAGGGGTTGAACATTGTGCGTCAGTAATTGTTTTTAACTAGATAATGGGTTTACTAAAAGCTGCGGAATTTATTTGAGAATAACTTTCAAATCGTGAACGGAACGTAATGGTATGGCAGGTAGAAAATTTCATATTTACTTATCATTTATCATTGGAAAATCTGAAGCATAGATGATAAATTGTGTGTTACTTGAGATTCACTTGAATTCACCTTTCATGTTAACAATTTTCTCTATAAATGCCATATTTCTCGAAAAACTATTTACCTACGAAAGGAAAACGTTTTAACTCGACTGAATATGTTTAATGATAAATGACCAAGTTTCTGGAAACATATTTCGTTATATTTTAAATAAATAGGAACATATTCCAAATGTCCATTTGAGAGTGTAGATCTCTACGAGACCGTTGTTAGTGATACATAGGTACATAAATCATGGAAAGTACTCGAGGACCATTGCTCTTATCTATGCTCATTTGATTTGTAACACTTGAATACAGAAAAGAGACGCCCCAAGTTATTACTTTTCTAATAATAATAACAGCTTTTTCGTTCAAAATCCATTCCTAAATATAGTCCTGAGAACAGCTACGATTATACTGTACCGACAACAAAAATATCTGGTTGTGACCTCAAAATGAAAAAAAAAATGCTTCAAAAGGCAGTGCAGGTAGTATTAGGTGGTATGTTGAGTTGGGGGTCAAGATGATTTTCTCTATATTTACCATGTTTTAACAATTCTTACCCCATTTTGTCTCTTCACCTGGTATCTCTTAGCAGTTACCAGTTACCTATCAATGTTTTACCACCAAAAACAATACGCTATTTGTTGTCAAACTGGCAATGTTGTTTGAACAATACAATACACCCCGCCGAGCTTGACTACCTTGCACAAATGACTAATTTCCCCTTTGTTTGACCCTTAGGGACAATGACAATGTGCATCTCTCGAAATCGATAATCAATATCTTAGTGATCAATAAAAAGAAATTTGCCTCCACTCAACGATGACATAGGCGCAGATCCCAAGAATGGCTAATCCTAAACTTCGAGTAGGTAGGTCGTGGAGGAACATTTGTGTGCGAATTACAGTAAATTGCGGGACGAAGACAAATTTTTTAGCAGCCTTTTATTACGAGCGATAAAATATACGCGAAGGAGCATTTTCGAGTTGGGGAAGTAAATAAACGGGATCAAATAAACTCTGATAGACAAAGAATTTTTTTTCGGATCGCTAACAGTAATGGCAAGTTCCTAAAAGTTGAGTGACGTGCATTTTCCCCGCAACAAAGTCTAGCTAATAAACTGGGCAAAATTAATATCAACACAGCGGAAAATTGCTATTTTATTCCTTTGCATAATCACGATCTCGAGAATGCAGTTGGAATCCCGATTCATACGAACTTTCACTAAACTTTGCATTCATACGTGGAATATGTGGATTTTTCTAGTCCATAACGCAAATTTTTTCATTGCGAACTATAATTTTAGAAGGTGATCTTAGATGACGTATTAATCCATATTGTTTCATAATAACAATAACAACCGTGCCAATCAACGAAAATGCACTACTA